TGTTTGGACCAACCCACACTCTGCAGGAGTAGGAGGCGCTTGCCAAGTGCTCCACCTTATAGAACCACCACGATGACAAATTTTTGGTAGCTATAAAAGAAAAGTTTTGGTTTCACTTTAACAGGTCTCTTGATTTGGGTTATCTCTGCTGTCCCTAGATTGTTTATGTGTTCTTTTTCACGTTCTCTCAAATGCACAGAAAGCTATAAGTTGCTTGAGTTGAGGAAGAAAAGGAAAGCAGAGGAGGTTTGGGGATGTGAACACTGAAGGAAATTGCACTCTAGTGATATCACGCCATACAAAAATGACTTTGAGACGTTTTTTTGTAGCATGATGTCACTAGAAATGCCTATTTTCATCAACAACGATAACCAAGGCCCCGATTGAATTGCTTTGTCAGCCGATGGCACCTCCCACGGTCCTGCTTGAGTTTGACAGCTCGCATTCAATCACACAGGAAGGGGATGAGAATGGAGGCAGGAATCATGCGCTACTGACACCAAATTTATCTGTTAAATTCTTATGCCATACCTCCAAACATTATCTCCATCACAGGTAGGCTCTCCAATTTTCCACGGTTGAGGATTAGTTTCAAGCAGAAATAACGGCTCGAACGAACAACGCAGCGGCGGCCGACGAAACACAAAAAAATGAAGAAAGGAGGACCGCCTGCCTGCCTACCTTCTCCTGCTCTCTTCTCGAGGCTCTTTACCAAAACAGCTTTTTAACCTACCCGCTTTCTACTACCAAGAGAGAGAGAGAGAGAGAGACAGATAGGGAGGCGTGAGAATGTTAGAAATAGTGAATGGCGTGTGGACATAGGTGTGTTTCTGTGTTTGGTCTACCCTGCTTTAATCTGTACTATCGTGGAGCGCGCTACCCTCCTCTGCTGCGTGCCTCTTGTCTACACCACGCAATCCACAGTCTAAAACTTGGTGCTATCCTGCATTCCTATCTTCCCCCTTATACCCATTGTTGTTAATTTAGCGAATCCTCAGGCTAGTCGAACTCTGTATCAGGCTACTATGGGCTCAAGTGACTTTGATCTTGATTTTGCTCTGTTTCGCCTCCCCCTCTTGATGATCCATTCTAAGATGATGTTAAGTGTGAAGTACTTGATTTGTTAAGCTCTCGGTTTTGGTGACGGGCCACTTAGGGCTCCACCATTGTACCTCTGCTGGATGAGCTTACCCCGGGCCGTCCCAGAAGCCGCCGTCCCTCTGTACGTCAACAATGAATATTCTGTCCGAGTGTTATGTCCATCTTCGCTTTCAGGGAGGTCTCGAGGCGCTACAAGGTGTGGCAATCGTGATGAAAGAACCATGGAAAATTTAAAACCCAAATAGTCTTTTCACACATATGGGAGTAGTGGGTAGTTGTCTCAAAAGTTCACTACTTTGGTGAATAAAGGTAGTGCTATCCAAGGGTGTAGCTTAAGATAAGAAACGTTGTTTTTAAAATTTTCCATGCATAAATGCCTTTTTCTTCTACCCTGAAAGCAGTTTGCCATTTTTTATTCTCAATTTTACTATTTATGGTCATTTGGAACTGGTGATGTAAACTCCCACCTACGCTCAAAATTCAACTGTTTGATTGGTAAACTTTCTTGACTGTGAATTTGCCACCAGCTTAGATGCAAAATACTCTCCCTAGATTGCTTAGTGCAAGAAGTGCTTTATTTTGTTAGTACCTTTTAGGCCTGAGGTGGGGAGTAAATACCAGCCCCGTTACCGATTGGACGACCCCGGCCTCCGTGGGAGGAGGGAACGTACCCTGGACACGCTTAATTTTGATACCTCTGTGCCTCAGTAATGCGGTGGAAGAGAGAGGCACCGAGCCCATTACCCTCAGATTTATGAGCAAAAACGCAACGAGTTAAACTACCTTTGCTGGATTGCAAAAGATTTGATTCCTTAAAACTTGCATTTAAATATGAATAATTTTACTTGGTCTCTGTGGCAAATGAACAGTTTGAAAAGTTTGCTGAGATCATTTTTGCGCTGTATTGGGGTTTACTTAAGGTGTTTAATTGAATAGTATTGTCGTTATCACCTTTGAAAGTGGAAATCCGGTGATTTCTTTGGTTGCACAAAGAATGAAAGAAATCCACCCCCTTCCCTATGGGAGAAGTCGTTGTGTTCAAACACCTGACCCTGTCAGCTGTCGAGTTATTATTCACTTTCATAGGACGCCCCCATTCCCGTGGATATTAAGACTGTCTGTGTGTAGATTTAATGCCTCAATGATGATGCCTTGGAGAGCATTGTTTCTACTAGTTTGGCATGCCCAAAAGGACACCACAATTTCCAGTCCTCATTTGAATGATGAGTTGTTGCCACTTTGTTTGACAGATTAAGGAAATCACCGCTTCATCGACCTCTGAATAGACAAATCGCTTATTATAAATCTCGTTCATGAGTCAGTGAGTGGGCTGACCTTCGTGAAAAGTTAGCGGACTGCCCACGTGACGCTCTCTCTTAGCAGCCTTTTTGAAGTGAAGGCATCGTGAACGAACACGCTGATGCCGCCAATGCAATGTAGGAACCACTCCCAGCCTGATGTCTGAAAGATGGTAGATACTTTGCTGTGAAGGGTCGGATTACCCAACCACAAGAGTGAGTATGAAGTTATTTGTGCCTAAATTTACGTTGGAAGGTCTGAATGGCTTGAAGATAAAAAAAGGAATGCTAATAGGACCCATTTCTTCGTCATAACACAAGCTGTGAATTTTTTACATAGTTGATTTAACTTGGAGAACTGGTCAAGAAGACAATTTCTTACTCTGAATACGATGTCTCGAGTTCGCTGTGTTCTTCACCAATTTGTGACGACTGGTTGCCCCAGCGGAGTTGGCGCGTTGGAAGTCGTAAAAGTGATGTGGGGAGATTTCGAGCAGCATTTGATATGGTCAAGCATTAATGGCATTCGGTGGCAATCAAATTCACTTCGAGGGTGTCAAGACTGTACCTCATCCTTACTACTTTAAAGCTGTCAAAGTGAGGAATCGTGGCGGCGAAAACTCCGTGTGCTTTGATTCTGCGCCTCTTGTGGATTACTATCACACTTTTCTTGCTTGTCTAACATGAGATGCTTTTTCCATAGGGTGGATGGCATAAAAAAGTCTCGAATTTTTGCCTAAGTCTGCCATTTTTTGCGAAGATTTTAATGAAGGATTACTACGTAGAAATGGAAGAATACAAACAACCCTCTTTCTACGAGAAGCAATTGTATAATTCGTTAATTTCTTGTCAGTTTTTTTTTTTTGGTGTGGCGTAGTTGATGCGTAGGGTAGGCTTTTGAAATATATACACGGACGCTTCCAGCCCCCGTAGGCATCGGCTCTACTCTATCGCACAGTTGTACGTCAATAGGAAGTCTACTCCCAGCCTGGTCGGTGCGCCTCCTGCCGTCCTGGGTGTTGCAGCCAGCGAGTGAGTGATTGGCACTACTGGGCACACGTAGGCGTTATTGGGGCGAAAGTTCTTACATCACTCAAGTCTCCCACGTTGATTGCGATTTTACCTAGAGATCTGAACAGAACATCTAGATTTAGGAATTTTGGGGTATAGCAAACCGCGTTTCATCATGCCATATGCTGACTGCGCTTTCCAATTTGATTTATCTCAGCGAGCAAACCGCTACATCGTGTACCCAATGTGTCACAGGGGAAATACGACCATAATTTGCAAGTGCCGAAAAACTTTTTTCACTTCTAATGCAAAGGCAATCGCTTAGAGATAACTTAGAAATTCTTGAGGTTTCGCCAGTAATACCGAGGATGCTAGTCCACTACTCTCTTTAGCTGGCACAGTCTAAATTGACCATCTTGCCTACGGGTGTAATTGCGATGCAGTCGTTCACCACGACGCGTATTTCGGCTTTCAACGCAACTCAAAATACATGCCACTACAAGTGGAATAGGTAGTTTCTTGATTGTTTAGGCGAGCGAAAGAAAGCCCCCAAACTAAAACAAGTTGACTAATCTTAGGCTGCAAAAGTTACTTTCCACATAGTGTCACACTCGTCGGTCATTCAATAAGTGCCAAAAGGGCGCCAGCTGACAGTCAACTCTAGAACACCCCTTTGCGTGCGTGACCAAACCTACTGAAACAATGGGCTCGCAGTGCGGAACCACCGCACAACACAAGAGGCCTAGGAGACAAACGAAGTCGAGCACGAAGCCCATCTCAACTCCTAAAAGCTAGTCAAAAGCATTGCCATCACCAGTTACCCCTACTACCGACCCCCGAGCAGGCCGAGAAAATCTTGTCATAATCTTTCCTCGATGCACGCAACACCCCCCCTGCGGGTATTACGGCCGATGCTTCCAGAATTATAACAAGCGGATCTAGCTATGTACCCGCTCGCGGTGCAACAATCCATCGAGAGGCCCTGGTAACACCGACGAACACCCAAACCCACCTTGAAAAAACATCGAGCAGACCGACCCTCATCGCTGACCACACCTACGACACTACAAAACAGTAACCAAGCTTGCGCTCAGAGATCGCCGAAGACTCCACTAAATGTGGGAAAGCTGATTTTCACGTAAGGGCAAATTGGTTGCTTTTAAAGGTAAATTTACTCAGAGGTTGTACAAGGCTTAAGTACGGACGAATGTGGGGTAGCCACTTTGCATGTATATTTATATATAGAGAAAGATTGGACGGTTGGGCGGCTTGGGCGAACGAGCAAACGAGAGAGAGCGGGATGGAGACAATAAAACAGGATGCGAGTTTCCTTATGCTCTATTCAGACCGATATCGTCCCTCGGGCAGCCACGCAACGAGGTTGAAGAGTGCAGAGTGCGCGAATGGACAGACAGGTGGATGTGAACCGGAAGAAGGGGAGAGAGTTTGTAGCTCGTTTACGCAAAGCAAATGCTCATGTTGTCACAGTGTGCCTGAAAGACTAGGTTAGGTGCGGTGTGTGTGGGAGGTGGATTAACAGGCAAGTGCGGACAGGGGGTAGAGCTCAATGCACGCACACACACGACTGCCTCACTGATTCGTACCCCCTGCCAGTGCCTCCGCATATGCTGGACGAAAGACGTTCAGCCAGGCGAGGAAGAGTGCATTGGGGTCGGTGGGGATAATCGGAGGTGGGACACTTGGAAGGCTTTCCGGTGTCTTTTGCAGCAACTTTGCGTAAAAGGCAACGAAGTCGAAGGGAGATGTATTGGCGGGTGCAACAATGGGCGCAGGCGGCGGCGGTGGTGGCGGTGGCACCACCTGTGGAAGGGATGGAGTCTCTGTCTGCTGTTTGTGCAGCGACGCCAAATGGGTGTAGATATGTTGTACAAGGCTACCCATGTCGGAACAAACGTGACCGCAGTAGAGACATTGAGTACTAGGGTCAGAAATCACACTGTGGATCGCTTTCGATTGTTGCTGCTTTTGCTGTTGTTCTAGAAGGAAATTCGACTCCGCTGCCCGACGTTCCGATAAGGAATGCGCTATTGAAACCAAAAGTTTATGTAAACTTTCCGGAGAGGCGCCAAGGAGACTTCCAACATTGAAGAAGGCTTCTAGGGTATTTGGGGAAGTGGTGTTTGTGGTGGTATTGGTGGATGAGGAATCGGTTGGCACAGAGAGACCAGCAAGGCTTTTCATAAAATCAAACAAGGCGGGGTTGGTAGGTGCTGGTGGCGGTGCTGGAGGCGGCGTGGTGCGTGACGGAGGCGTGGAGCGCAAAGAGGAAGGAGAGACCGAAGAGGAGACAGAAAGAGGTGAGGAGTGGGAGGAAAAATGCGAGGAAAAGTCAAGGGGTTTTGTGGCGCCGGAAAGAGAGGAGGGGGCGGTGCGACCGAAAGACTGCCTCCGAGCTCGCTTCTGAGGCCTCGAACTCGTACCACCGGGCCCAGTAAGACCTAAATGGAACTTGGGCGCATCAATTGACTTGGTGGACCGCTTCTGTCGCTCACCGGCAGCAGGACTGGGTAATTTAAGACTGGAGGAAAGTCTAGCAAGCTGTATAAGAGAATTTGAGGAGGGTGGAATGTAGAGTTCTGGCTCTTCGGTGGTGTGAGAGGGTGTTGCTGACGACGAAGACGGTGGCGCCGATGACTGAGTACACTTTGGGCTGTGCGACGTCGCTCCGTTGACGGGAGGAAAACTCGGCAGCGGAGGAATCATCGTAGTGGTCGTCTTCGCTGCTGTTCTATTCGGAGGTGGTTTGCCGAGGGAATTAGAGACAGAAAAGGGGTTGGAGGGTTTCATTGAGGTTGCTCCGTTGGCGATTGACTTGGAGGAAGAGGAGCTTGTGGAGGATGAAGACGTAGACTTTGTTTCCACTCCGATATTCTGACAAGTGCGTGCCAGAAGAAGGAGGGGGTTTTGGCCAAGAAAATCATTCTGCAACGATGAAAAGAAAGCAGTGGCTAAAGTTTAGGCAGATCAGACAGGAGCATTAATAACAGATCAAAGCAGTGGCATTAGGTGAAAACTGCTGGCAGCGAAATCAGACCTGCTGCGCGCACTAAGGCAACGTGACAAGGAGACCAGACGACTGCTGCAAGGGGCCAGACCATATCTGTCCCACATGAGGGGGCCATTAATCTTCTAGCTGCTGTGGCCAGCACACGCACACGCAAGCACACACCTGGGCAACAGCGGCGGCAACCGTGGGAGGATCTGAGGCGAGCCTTTGAAGTCCATTGCTGCTGCTCACCGCCATCGGCGATTTGGCCATTGTGCGGTGTGGGAAAAAAGGCGACAACGACTACGGCAGTGGTGGAGGCGGAGCAACGGAGGGGAAAGGGAAACCAATATAAGACCACGGGTTGCGCTCCCAGTGCTAGTGTGTAATTACAGTAGGTCCAAATGGGAGCGAAGGATTAAGGCTCACGATGTGCATTACTTAAGTAAACAACCCTCCTCCCGTTCCAACAGCAGCCCCAGCCCCCAACGTTTTTGGTGGAGCATATCAAGCCGACCCACACCCGCAGCTGTTAATTTGCGTGATGGATGAACGGAAGAATGGCAGCATGGACGGACGAATGGCTGGCTAGCTGGTGAGGACAAGCGCAGCACCTAGTGGGAATCTGTGGCTGAGTAGATGCCTTTTTGACTCTGCCTCAGAATGCAAGACAAATAAAGCGGAACGGATAGGCCTGGCTGAGTGACAGTTGATGCTGCTGCTGTTGTTATCGTCGACACTATACAATCGCAGATGTCAAATGCAAGCTGTCTGACTGTCATCGGCACTGCGTCTCCGTGGAGTGACAGGTAGACAGCTAGTTGGCGAGGCAGCGAACGAACAGTGGAGCAAGAGCCATGCCCATCACCTGTCAACCTACGCGCACGCACTAAGTCAGTCAGCCCTGCTGCCTCGACCCTCTCTCCCTCTCGTTCGCTCGCTCGCATGATGTTTCGCGTATCCAAGTATGTGTACGTGTGGGCTTTTACGCCCAATCCAACTCTAACTCCAGCATCACTCTCGCATCTTACCCTATCCATGTATCTGTGTTTGTTTGGTAACATGTACATGCCCAACTCACTTACCCAGACTCTCAACTTTTCTCGAAGTAACATTTTAAGAGGAAAAGTCAGATGCGCCTTCTTTTTGGGCACACTTTCGTATTTACGAAATTAAACAAATCTGCCTTGTGGTCCGCTGAAATACCAGACTAGTTACATGAAGTAATAGATGATTAGGTAAGACGCGTAAAAGGGCGTGAATGCAAAAAAAATAAATAAAGTAGGACTTACCACATTCTTCTTATCCGAATCGAAGTGATCAGGTTGGAGGTAGGCGGATACTTCACTCATTGTGCAACTCTGTATGTTGCTGGTGACCTTGTAGCGGAATAAATCCGTAGGTTTGACGGTTACAGTAAGAGCGCGCAAAGACGGCAGCTGCACCTCCCTCGAAGCCGGCTCTTCAGAAATGACTCCTTGATGTCGCCGCTCCATCAATTCACGTTTGCACCTTGACCAATCGCAGCTCGACTGCAGGTGATTGGTCCCCGTCGGGTACTGTCAACCAATTAAACAGCGTGCTTCACCTGTCCAATGAAATGTGTGGAACGTGCGAATGAGAGGCGGTGGTGGTGTGACGGCTTTAAAATGGATTATCAAGGTGACATACGATCTATCTCTCCTCCCTCGCGTTTGCCGCGCGATCAATGGGCTGTCAACCGCATTTGCGAAATTGACGAAATTGGACCTCTCACGCTGGGGTAACGACGATCCATCTGTCATAAATCATCGTGTGAATGCACACACTCAAGCTAATCAGCTCGTGAATCATAGCGAACGGGGTTTAGGATGCCTTGGGCCAACGACAATTCGTTTATCGGTTTCATCCATTTAGTCGTAGTATATGGGCATGGGGCTTGGATCAGTCGTGAAGCTTGAATTCAGCCAAACTGTTGCAGGATCACGTCACCTCTTCAAGTCTAACCAAACTTCAGACAAATCTAAAGCATAAGTGGAGTTAGATTTGGATTTTCATCAAAGTAATCAGCAACAGATCACCTACCTAACTAACCTTAAATTTGACGAGCTGAGGTGTTATCCAATGGAAATTTGTTATGTATAGTAAAGTCGTGGAACTAATTCAAAGCCACTCATTTTAATTGTCAATTTTGTCTTGCTGGTGGGAGCCCTCTTTGAAAATCAGCTTGTATTAGGACTATTTAAGCCTGCCTGCCTACCTGCCTATCTCACAACCTTAAGGTGAAGTATCCTCTGGATTTATGGCTTCTCAAAGCATTTACAACTGTCTCTAACCATCAAATAAGAAGGTTGTGGCTCTAGTCCAGAGTGTGTGGGTGTGTGTGCATGTTAAAAAAGGTAATGAGTCATTAAGCTCCTCCGCTTTATTCAACTCTTGCCTCACTTTAAATCGGCTTAGTTCAGTCCTTTGACAGCTAAAGCACGTTTACTACGAATGGAACCCGTACAACCCTATCTCCGCCCGATTCAATCGCCTTTTATCGATATTCTCCCACGTCCGTAGGTGAAGCATGAAACAGGTTGCTCTGAGGTAAAGCGGCAGGCATCGAAGGGTATGTATGACAAGATTCTGGTAAAAGGGGAGGCAACCCTAAGCAATACACCTAGGGAAACCTATACCATCTTAGGTCATACGATTTTTATGACAAGTAGCACATCATTGAGCTCACTAATAGGCACTTAGATTCGACTGCAGGAAATGTAGTCTGGATTAAAAGCCTGTTATTCAATGTATATGGTGTCATTTAGTCTTAATTTGTTTCACGTTTTATTTGCTACTGACGCGTCTCGGAGTTAATAATAGACATGTAGGGAACCGAAAATCTAGTATTTTGTAGGAACATTTCATCCTCCACTTTGTTTACATGACAAGACAGGCTTTTGATGGCCCTATGACACTGACAGGTCCTCCCCAAGCCTCCCACCAAGGTGAATTTCACGCTCCATTTTCGAGATGACAGATAGCCCCCCACCACTGGATGTGCACCCATACACATAAGGTGAGTATTTATAAAAGAGTAGCAAGTATGCGCATCTGTGTGCATACATAGAAGAGAGAGAACGTAATTCCGCAGCAAAACACTACCATCCTTGATGACAGGTGGACGATGGCTGAGTAAGTCCACTCCTCCCCGATTACGCTAACACCTCAAGTTCTGGACAATGAGCACCACAATGTATTGCAGTACGCACGTCTACGCTCACGCACACACATTTGTATGATTACCTAACTGTAGTGAACAGAAGCCTTGACCTTAACTTCGCAGATATGATAAACGATGATAAAATCGTGTGATCAGCGAGGAGTTACAAGCGGAGTTGATCGGTTAACTCCGCGGACAGCACAACGGAGAATGCCATCACATCTTAAAATACACTCGAACCTATCAAAATAGGAAATAGTGAAGGCTGTGGCAAGGTTACTTCACTTTACCAAGTCAGCAATTGGGTGGCTAGCTAGGTTTCGGAGTAGATGAAAGAGACTGGGGACGAATTTCCACACGAAATTAATCAGTCGCAGGCACACACATGCACACACATTCATAACTCTTCTCCGCATAAGTGTGTGTATGTGTGTGTGCATTTGTGTCTACGCTGGTTGCTTGTGTATGTGATATGACGGCGGAGGTCATAAACCCCCTGAATGATTTATCGACCCCATACACACCCACACACGAGAGATATAATGGGAAAGGGTGATTAGGCGTCCGCATGTGTCTGTGTGTATGCGTGTATGTATGTGAGTGTGCGTGCACTGGATACACGCACCCCCTGGGTCACCAAACTAGACAATAAACTATATTTATTGAGAATTGTACCATGAAGAGACCTTCCGTTCCCACGCACTCTCGTAGCTAGCTTGCTGAATGGGACCCTCGAGTTGGCCGTGTGACTCACTACCCACCTAATTGACTCTCCTCTCGATCTTTTTTCTCGTGGCTAAGCCCCTCAGAGCTGATTGGCTAGCTCGCTCGAAGGCTTCATGTGCCCAAGTGAAAGTACGGAAAATGGGAAAACACCACTGTGATTAGTACATAACCTTATGTTTTAGAGCAGTTTAACTGATGCCCGAGGTGTTCGGTACGCTAAAGAGACACTTTTTGTTAGATATTCACGCCTTCCTGAAACTTTAGCGTGGATTGTGTACACAAAGATGAAGGTTGTGTAGTAAAATTAAAGGAAAAACGGAGTTCAGCTGTTTATCCAACCTGTCCATCAGAGGAAGTGTTCTCATCGATGCCACTCATCCAACGCTGAAGGGTGCTTCGCTTAGCTGAGCGTGTGCGCGAGAGCGGTACGTGTTTTTCACTTCAGCGCTCCTCACCCTTAGCGTAGGGCTTGGGCCTTCGGAACGGCAGATTTTTTTGCGCCACTGTTACTACTATGAGAGAGAGAGACATCCTGTCAGGCTTTTTTGAATCCGATAGATGAGCGCAGGGATGAGTGACGTAGCGGATTAGAAAAAAAAGACAAAGGCCCACCCTGCCCAAAGCAAAGCGTTCAACCCTTCATACCCGGTATGAATGCTTTAAATAAAGTCTATTAGAGCAAAATCCATGGCTTATGATAAACGTTGATAAATGCTTCAACCTTGTTGGTCTCCCCTGTAACTTTGATACACTTGAAAATCCCTTCAGAACAGCAATGTCAACCTCGTGGAGTTAAAACCACTGCATCACAAGGAAAAGATTGCAGAAATTATATTTTTTTTACTACACACTTTAATTAACAATCAGCTAATTTGCAACATCATTCTGGACTTATCAGTCTGAGTCGATATCTCAGACACCCATAGAAGGTCGGAAGACTGACAGCATTGCTGCATGCTACCCATGTGGAGGCTGAATCGGGGTAGACCGGACAGGCTCTCATGGTTTTACATCGGTCGGTTAATAACTGACATAGTCGTGGCGACGGTTGTGGCTCTAATTCCGAGTTATCTACTGTACGCATTCTTAACCGGGGTGTATGGGGCCATGAATCATGCCTTGTCTGTGGAGTTGTCACAATGACACGTATGAAACAAAGCGTGCCAAGCCTGCTAGACGGTTATCGCGTCGCATACATTAGGGGCGCATGCGTGTAGAGTGAGGTTCCAGCAACGAGTTTGACAGCCACCTAGATAAGAGACGCACTCACCAATGGAAGAGTAGGAGGAGCAGGAATGTCAGTTGAAGCTCGTCCCACTCCCTTAATCGCTCATATGAACACCCCATCTGCCTCACTCGCTATTTTCAAAATGTTCCTTGTGTTGACAGAACGAAAGCAGTATAACCCCCCGCCGTCGTGGCTACAGCTGTGTCAAAATGAATTTCCCTCAGCAGTCGTGGCTCCTACCTTTCCGATCCGTCGGTGAATTAATGATGGATGTGATAGGAGATATAACGTCATCTTAAAGTAAACCGTTTGTCCCCTCCGGATTGAGACTTGCCTGAATGGTGGGGGAGATTGAGTATGTTTGTGAAGATCAAAGGAGCTCTCCTGCTGCTCATTCGCACTTCGAAAGTGCTGAGAGGCAGGTCTACGTGACCTGATCAATCGAGTAGCTCGGCGAAGAAGTGGATGGATGGGTGGATGTGTGTGCACGTGGAATTGCACCAAAGGCAGGCGATTGTGTGTACTTTGCAGTGCAAACGCACTTTGTCATGGCCAAGTAATTTTTCCGTACACAACGGCATACCGATTAAGTTGCAACTGCATTCCACCGAATACATGGGAGGTAGGGGGTGGGGGTCAGTACACACTGCCAGTAGGTTCTTGAACTTCCCAATCGTTCTGTTCTAGGGCAGCATCAGTTAAATCACTTGCTCAACTTATTAAATTGCCTTAGCTTGATTTGGGTCCGGAAAAAAGACCGAATCTTGAGGTGCAGCGCCATGGAGTTGGATCGACTTTTCGGCAGATTGCTAAACACCTATTGGATTAAGTGTTTGTATTTGGACCATTAAACAAATTAGCCTGGGCAGACATAGTTCTCCACTAATCTAGTTCCCTCCTAGAGGTCTAGACAGTAGAATAGGTGTAAGAGAGAGAACGGGCGTAAGTGACGGCTTCGCGACCAATAAATACTAAAAACTTCATTAAGAGAGAATTCTTTCGAGAAAAAACAGACGGGGTGAGGGAAACCAGTTTTTACCCATCTATACGTCTAGAGGTGCAGACAACACGAGTGAGTGTATGTGTGTGTGACCATAATTAGACAGGAAATGAACTAAACACGCATACATGGCCTGCGTATTTTGCTAGGGCATTTAATAACAGCTTTCTTGGCCGGGGTGACATGCTGGCACACACGCACATGTGCGTACGCACAAGTGGGTTGCGAGTTGACAACCTCGACAAGTGGTCGCACATTTGGGGCGAGAGGGACAGACTACAAGAAAGGCCGTCGGTACTGCGCTGTCTACTGAGGAGGGGGAGAAAGGAAGGCTAGTAGGGTTAATTCACCCGCCTGTCAGAGAGTGGGCGAAAATGCTTTTCTCCATAGCTCAGTTTCGTCCACAATTGTCAAAACCGCAGAAATTTGGCTAACACAAATACTCCATGGTGTCCATAAATGATGTATACAGAAGTAGCTGGAGTCTCTAGGTAGGCATAACATCCAGATCAAGTGGTCCAAGATTTCGCTTTTTAGTCTTATTCTCCGAAGCATTTTGGAATAGCACTACCAGCTTCTGCCGTGAGGATTTTATGGAAACTGTGCTTTGGTGCTCTGTCTGAAGCAGTTCTAGTCATGTGGGAGGGCTGATATACTTGAAGCGATACAAAGCTGCATGCATAAGAGGTCTTTACAAAGAAGGGCATAATTTATGGCCTCCGCGTCATTCTCAGTGGTATTTCAGGCAGATGCCGTTATGTAGCATCAATCACTGCCATTACCCAGTGAAGTACCACACACGCTGGAGACCCATGCAACAGTGCAGAGACTATTGATCAAACCAACACTGTCTTTTGTTAATTTTTGGGGGTAGAAAACCTTCCTGTACCAGGTAGGAATAGTGGATTTGTTGACCAAGTCATTTACGAGCAGTTACAAGGGTGTGCCGCTGACAAGAACAAGCGGCCAGGTGCCAGTGAATACGGCTTCATTCCATTCAAAATGTCCCTATCTTTATTTTTGCGCGGCAATTGTAGCAACCTACCCCTGGGGTGTGTTGACACCTCTCACAACAGTGCGCTAGAAAGGAAAGCAACTTAGACAATGGCGGAGTAATTGTCGGAGCAGACAATGCGTCCCATTTACAAGGTGTGTGAGATAGAGGAAACAGATAAAAAACGTTTCTGAGATAGAGAGAGAGAGAGAGAGAGAGAGAGAGAAGAA